AACAAACTCAACGATTTAAAAGGGAGCAATGCCAACACTCTATAGGAGAAGAAAAACCTTTCTATCTCCAGCGCGCGAAACTGTGTGTCGGAAATTCTAAAGATATGCTCATTTTAAAATTATTTTGCGACATTGCTATTGAACTGAATTTTATGGTTTAAGTGCAAAGAACATTATATTTAATAAATAAAGGTAACACACAAAACGTTAAAAAAAAACGCCCCTTTAGACGAATTTAAAATCTGAAATCTTTCAGATTTTTGTTAGCTAATTAATTGTCGCATATTTTTTTTTTCTCATTTGATTTTAATTAAAAGTAACGTATTTGCACAGGAAACAATTGTTTAATTTTGCATTTAAGGCTGAATAGGAAAACAAGAAAATCATAGTTATCAAAAATTAAGAATTTTATTTAAAAATTTTAAATTATAATTAAAATAGATCTTATATCCATGTGATCTAGATTTAAACATTTAATATACAATGAACCCTCTTGTGGCGACCTCTTCCAAAGGAATTTCCCAGAGCAGAAATAAACGCTTGTACTGAGCATCATCTCTCTAATACGACCACCTCCACCGAAGACCAAAATAATTGGAAATGTAGGTGATCGTCTAACAGAGGATTTAATATACTTTTACGATGCGCCAGTGCGTGATCCGCCTAGATCCAGACCATCTAGAAGCCCATAAACGATTGGCGACCACCTCCCTAAGACGAACACTTCCAAAAAGTGACCAGCATTTCTAAAGGTATAAATAAACATCTGCACTGAACATTATCTTTCTAAGGTGATCACCTTCACAGAATACCAAAAATCAACTAGAAACATGGATGGATATTTTAGAAAGATTTTTGCTCATAGTAATTACATTCATTACAATTACGTCTAATGCTTAAGGAAGCTTATAAGCTATTAAGTTGCTGAATGCTAGTAGTTAGACCTAGGTTCGATTCCTAGCAAAGCGGCTTTTCGTAATTTTCCCACATATAACGTGGTTACGAGCGATTTTCCTTAGAAAGCCCTCCACGAAGACAACTCTTCTCAGATAACTTTCGTGCGCTTTGTTATAATACAAACCAAATTAAAGAAACTTATTCATTTTACTCTCTAAATTGCGCTCCAAATAAATCATATGTGGGAGCTTTTCGTATTCAGAATCTAAAACGTATTAGAACGGAAAATTAAATAAATTTAATTATTTAACTTATGCAGAATTCCAATTTTTAATTTATCCCTAGTTTCCAAAAATCTGAGCATGAATAATTATGTAATAAAACATAGTTCGATAACTTTGAAATTCAGAGATCAACTTTTATGACCTTCGACCACTAGCAACCGAGAGGTAAAAATCATTGAATATTGGTAGTTCGACTGGCGTTCAAACCATGGCGGATGGGCTGCTTACAAGGAAGTTTTCGTGGTTTTCTCCATGTGTAACATAAAAATACGAGTCAGTTTCTATCAGACGTATGAAATAATTTTTATATCAGCTCCACACTATAAAGAGTCCTCCATGAAGGCATCCATATCCCCTTCGGCAGATAATCTTAGAGAACTTTGACATAACCTAAATAATCTGAGTTGACGATCATGCTAATCTACTTTCATACTGAAGCCTGTGATGCTTTAATTAATGTTTTATTTATCATAAGCTGTGTTAACTACTTTAAATTAACCATTTCAGCAAATTTTCTGTTAGATTATCTTTTTTAAATTTTTGACATCATTTTAGAAGCCTAAATATGTCTGATCGTTTTAGTAAGACATATTATTTGTAACTGTTTTGCATATAAGTACAGAGAATCTCATGACGACGAACTCTAAAAGTGTTTCCTATAACATAAATAAACAGGTTTTTGTACATTTGCCTTTGTAAAGCAACTATCTATATAAGTGGCTCAAACCGCTTGAAGCCGTTAGTGGTCGCACTAGAAAAGTCTCGTTATATTTACTTTTTTATGACATTTAAAAATTTCAGTTTATTTAACGTCTGCCTTATAAATTATAAAATTGATTTTATAACAACTCTCAGTATAAATTAGAATAGTAATAATATTTTACATTCCATCGGATTATTGTATTGATATGAAAGCCTTGAATCAATTGCTCATCATTATTTCGTACGTATATTATTGCAAAAATTCAAAATCCTTAATTATGATAATTTTCAATATTCCGGCTGTAAATACCAAGTTATTTAAAAGATGATTTAAAATGTGTGCATTTACAATGGGAAAACATAATTATGGAGCTTTTTAACGTCTGAAGCTGATTAAAACTGGTTGAAACGTGTTGCAGTCTCAGTTTCGTAAGCAAAATCATTCTCACACTGATTTGCTATACGCTTAATTTATAGCAGTTTCTATAAGTAACAAAATTTTAGATTTATATCATTTTTTAAAATTTGTGAAAATAAACAAAAAGAAAGGGAAAAAAATTCATTCACAGATTATAAATATTTTTTGTTCATCTTTTCTGACTATTAGTATATTTTTCAATTTTCTTCAACTGTCAAATCTTCCTGTATTTCTAAATATTTACAAATTTTTTACAGTCCCGCCCCAATTTTTAAGAGTTTTTACGTTAAATATTAGAAGCGTTTGATGTAATTAATCATGCATGTCGCACATGGATTCGCTAATTTAGAATTTTGAGAATTTTTGTAAGCACTACTGCAGATGATTTGTCTTTCCTAGCAAATTGCAAATTTTAAGATTCAATAAATCCAACTCATTCAACCCAATTTTAAGATTCAATAAAGGCACTGAAGTTATTTAACATTTAAGAACTCTCGGCGATTTAGAACTCCCGGACATTTGTACTCAAGAAATGATTTCAAAAATGTTCTGCTATATCTATTAGTAATTGTTCTATCCCTTGACCAACTAATATATACTGCGTTTTCCCCTCATTTCTTCTTAGGTTACTTGTATCATGATAAAAAATGATGTGGGCTATCTGCCTAAGAGTAGGGTTGTTTTCGTGGACGACTTTCATGGGAAAGTGGCTCTTATTTACTTTGTAAATGAAGAAAATCACGAAATTTCTCTTGAAACCATCTTGTTCGCTGGGATTTGAACCCCGGTCGAACGATCAGTGTTAAGCTATCTTACCGCTGTAGCGCTAATGGGCTGCAGTATGTATCATGCTTTATGAATTTAGAGCACAAATGACCTTCAGTCCTCTTATATCATCAAAGCCTGGTACCGTTTCTCATAAAAATAAAATTATTAGAAATATTAGTAAAAAGACATGTAAGTATTTTGGTTGAGTTTGTATTCAATTAATCACCTTCATGTAACATATAAGGATACAATTTACGTAATACAGTAAATTTTTGAATTTTTTAACACGTTTAGGATCCTAAAAAAAGTTAGCAAAAGTTAATGATGGGAACTCCATTTAAATAAACAAACACTATTCTACACGTCAGTGTTGTAATTCGACATTCGACAAAATGTGTTTCGCTTATATACCAATCTCTGCAGAAGGGTGAAAATTGCAACCAATGCAGAAAGTTTATAAATTCACTTTTGCCGCATAAATTTTCCATAAAATGAAAAAACAACTTTCAATACATATAAATCATTATATGAATGCATGGGTAAATCTTTACTGCAGAATACATAAACCTTATTTCCAGCTTAATGTAAAACTTTTCGCCCGCAAAATTCATGAGATAAAAATAGGTAAATGTATATTAAGTCAAAAACTAAATAAAATCAAGTCTAAAATGTATGCATTATTTGACATCAATACTACATTTTACATGTTAATATTAAAAAAAATATCTGACTAAATTACTCATGAACGATTGTTTACAAGCCTATAATTTGTTTGATCAAGTGTGACTAATCTGCAAAGTACTAAATCATATATTCTCTTGCAAAATCTTGTGGACTTGGAAAATCGGAATTGCAAATTATACCTATGATTGCTAAATATTATATTCGTAAGATTAATAATTGAATTAATTTCATAATCATCATAAACAGAGCCTGAAATCCTCTAATGACTTACCTAAAAGCTAATAAGAAAAAACACAATTACATTATAAATTCTTTAATACAGTCATCCTATACAAGTAATCGAATATTTAAGAATGCTTTTTTAAAATGATTATTTATCTCTTACGCTGTTCATCTTTTATATTAAAAACATATACTATTAAACATTGAAGAATGAGGGTCCATAGAGATAGCTCAAATTATTCTATGGGTTGTATCCATATTTTTTTACCAGTAAGACTTTTTCCATTGCTTTTTTCTTCCCTTTCTGTTCTAGTGATCTGTTCTCATGCCCAATTTTTAAGACATTCTGTGAATATCTATCAGGTATTTCTGCCGCCTTTTTAGCATGCCTTCGTGTTTAGTCGTCAGCACACTCGGCGCAAGGCGGCGCACGGATCGGCGTGCATTAGAAAAGACGTCAGGCATGTAGAGCACATATCCAGCAGCAACAGACAAGTGGGCAACAAGATGTTCTACAGATAACTGGACTCTCGTACACGATGTTTTTAATATGACCCCAAAAGAAGAAATCTAAGCAGGTTAAATCAGGAGAATGCGGTGGCCAGGGAACTGGTCCGCCCCGTCCTATCCGGTTCTGGTTGTAGACACGTCCAGGTGATTCCTGGTGTTCCGGCTGAAGTCAGCTGGGGCTCCATCGTGCTGGAACCGCATTCGTCCGCGAACAGCTGGAGGAAAATCGACGAAAGGTTCCGGTAAGACGTCTCGTAGGAAGATGCTGTACATGTGGCCAGTTAATTGACTGGGTAGAATGTACGATCATATTAAGTTATCAAGCGCAATGCCTGCCCAAACATTAATGGAAAACCTTTCTTGGCAGGCGTGTGTTATTGTGCCATGTGGGTTATCATGAGCGCACAGGTGAGGATGATGAATGTTAAACGTACCCGACCGCATAAAGTAGCCTCATCAGTGAATAAAGCATCTGCAGCAGGGAAAATTTGATTGCCTACCGACTGCTATAGGTATCAACGAGCAAAGTTGAGACGTGGAAGATAATCATGAGTCATTGCTTGCACTCTCTGTAAATGATTAGGATGTATTCCGTCTTCATGTAAAGTCCTCAAAACAGTTGCATGGCTCACACCCAGCGCACTTCCTACAGCTCTCGAGCTTGACGAAGGATTATCCCATACTCTGTTTAGTATTCTTTCTTCCACTGCAGGAATTCTGAGATATCTTCCAATGCCAGTATAACGCCTGGACGCATAAGACGATCCACCCGTGCTTAACTCTCGATGAAGACGCTCGAATGTTCTACTATCTGGCTGATTCCTCTCCGGGAATCGCTCCCTGTACATCCTTTGAGTAGTTAATTCATCTCCTTGTGCAGCCCCATACATGAAATGTATGTCGATAAGCTCCGCATTGGTGTAACGATGCATGATGCTCAAGATCTGTGCGGGAAATGAAGAATCCAGCTAACCGCGCTAGCTTTTATACGCCGCACTCATCAGTGCTCGCTACTGGCTCAACGCGGAATTACCGCACACATATTCGTATAAGAAATCTGCTTATTTAGGTCCCCTCTACATGCCTTTACATTTTTGACATATAGTTTTGAACCACCCAGTATGCCATTCTAGAAAACATTTTCAGAATTTTGATTAATTTTCTGAACATCTTCTTTTACTTATAAGAATCAACATGTATTATTTAATACTTTTGATTCATGAACTCACATGCACTTAATTGCAAATTGTATCTTTAGTCAAATATTTACGTAATACCCACTACATATACTAAAAATTGCTAGAAAGTATTTTCTCCCTCCATTCTGCACGCCTTCGTGATGTAACGCGAGAGCACACTCGGCGGGTATTCGAGAGGTCCGTGTTAGGGTTACAGCCGAAAACATCGCGGCGAAAACACCGCGGACGAAAACGTCGCGGAGAAAACAACGCAAGGCGAAAACGTCGTGCTACAAAACATCGTGTGAGAAAACATCGCAAAGAGAAAACATCGCAGTTCTAAAACATCGTAATACAAATCGTCGTCAAAAATAAAGCGGTTCAAAAACTTCGCAGTTTAAAAACATCGCCGTCGAAAAATATCGTGGTAAAAAATAAAGTATCTAGAAATCATCGCATGATGATAACATCGCAGACATGCTTTATTCAGGCTTTAATAATTGTAAATGGGTGTTCTCATGATGATTTGTGAGGGCAAGATGGAAAGAAGGATAATTTTTATTTTCATATTTTTTACTCACTAAGTAATTTTTGCTAATAAAGTAAGAAAGAAATTTAAGCATAGAAAATTAATGCAACTTATAGCACATAATAGAATTTTAAACCGACATTGTTAACTAACAAAGGCCATTAATAAATCATTTTTATAAAGTTTTTACTGGCAATTTTTCATGAAAAAAATATTCTAAAAAAGATTAGAAAAAGGAAGGTAAGTAACTGCATGACCTTAAATATAAGAAAATTGCTAACTTAATTATGAGATTATATTCTTCACTTTTGTTTTAATTTAATACTCTTATAGTGAAAATTATTTCTTGTTTTGTTTCAGTTTATTCTTAAAGTGTCATTAAAATTTTCATGCACAGCATGCAGTCAGTTAAATGAATGTCGATTTGCTAGTTATGACGAAAGTCAGCTAATAATATTTCAGTAGTCTTTGGATTTATTAGGTTATGTCAAAGCACACTACGGCTATCTGCTTAAGGGGTGGGAGTCCTTTGTGGAGTACATTCTCAGGAACTAGTTCATATGCCCATTATACTTCAGGAAAATCACGAAAATCTTCACACAGCTTTCTTTGTTTTTTTGTTTTTTGTTTTTTAGAAATAATGTATACTTGCAGTGAACCTTTTTGGTGACTATCTCTCTAAGACGAATAATGTTTTTGAGAACAATAAACACAGATTTTAATTATTATGCAAGTTCACCAAAGATGTGAAATTTTTAGTGGTCGCTTTAAATTGGATTGTTTACATTTACTTTTAGATTTAGGCCACCCAGACGGTATGGGAAGCCGGGCTGCGATAGCAAAGGTCCCGGGCTCGAATCTCGGAGAAGGCATGGTTGTAACTGTCCGTCCCTTCATAGGAGGCAAAGGTAACCCACCTATTTGGTGCCTCCATAATTGAGTGACCATCACTTCTTATAAGTGGCCGAGATGAAGTCGGCCACCATTGGTAAAAGGGACCGCCATTGGTTAAAAAAAAAAAAAAAAAAAAAAAAAAAATTCAGATTTAAGCATTTTTATTAAGCACTTAAAAGTATTTTATTTAATTTTTCATATACATTTTATTCGAAAATTTTGCAGTTACTGATTGAACTTATAGTGACCAACTTCCTAAGGCAATTTTTAATGTTTTTCTTCCATGTTTCTTAATTTTCAAAACATTTTAATTTATGCACTCCAGAAATCTATAGCGAAATTAAAATTACTATTTCTGAGTGAGAATCTATTTTGTGGCGATTCTTTGTCGTCGGAATTCTTTGCCTAGCAACTCTGAAGCGATTATTTTTTCTTGTAAATTTTTAATTAAAGATAAAATTTAACGAAATAAAAATTTAATCAAATTTCCCTTATATAATTTTCAAGCATAAAAACTACACCTATTTTACATTGACTTTTTTTTTTTTAGTGACTGAAACGTTTCACGTACAATTTTTTTTTACTTAAATGACAATTTGTTTGGAATAAGAAGAAGATGTAACTTTTTTATGTGTTACTTTAAATGTGTTATAAACATATGATTTTGAATATCAACCATAACTAAATTTTAAAATCCGAGTTCGCTTCGTGCATGATTTTTTTAATTAAAATAATCAGAAAAATATTTTTTCAATAAAATGAAAGTATTTAGTGTTCTACGCATTCAACTAAAATATCTAACACATTTTGGAAAACGGTATCTTTAAAAAAGGCATGTTTTCCATAGTTTACGTTTTAAATCAAACAGAAATATCTTTTTGATCTTTATACTTCATGGAGTAGCCATTTCTTATACTTTGATATGCGTTCTCTTTAATATACATGCAAGGCTTAATTAGTATGTTGGTTGTGATTCATACTATATATTAATACTTGTATATACTCGAATCACATGCTTTTTTTGGGAGCACTGGTTTGCTCTGACTCCCCCTTTTTTGTTCCTTTAATTGTTGCAACATGTTTAATTTTTATATAGTGGCGATGGTGTGGGAGTGTGAGAAGTTGTATATAGTCATTATTTATTTTAAATATTGTCCTCATTCATTTTTGTAGTCTTTATTATATCGTATATTGTCCTTATTTATTTTGGTAATAACCGTGGTTTCTTACTGATCCTGTGACTCAATTATTTTAATGCTTGTTATATGTTAGTGCATATTTCCCACTGAAAATATATATAAAACTCTATTAATATACGTCTTCATATTAAACAGCTTTTGGATGTAAGAAACACAATTAATTCAAATAGACTCATCTATGAATTTTTTATGAGCAAAAATTTATAATTTTACGTATGATATAGTGCAGAATCTCAAAAACAAGGATGTACAAGTTGTAAAAATATAAAATATTTAAATGAAAGGAAAAATACTTTTTTTTTTTTTTTTTTTTTTTTTTTTTTTGAGGAGTTAAATAATTTAACCCTTTTAGTCCCAATTTATTTGTTTGTTTCAACTGACTTGATTTTTTTATGTATTCTTGGTAATTATCACAAATGAAACAAATGACATTGACAGAAATTGACAGTCTGTAACTAAACCTCTATAAGAAGAGGCGCACGACAATTTTGTAGTGGGTATGTTAGAAATGATGCCTACTACCAGTGGGACATTAACTATGTAGTAAATTGATGCGTGTAATTCCCTCTAGGTTTCTTTAAACATCTACTGGGACTTATATAACCCATTGGGACTGAAAAGGGTTAAGGGAGAGAATTAAATGCTATATTTCACCGCACTTAAAATTTTCAGAATATTGATTTATGAGTTTTTTACAAAAGTTCATTTTTTAATAAATGATTTAGTTTCGCTTTTTATATTCAGTTATTTATTCATAAAATGAAATTTTTCTTTCATCTAGTAGTAGTATATATTTGTTTCGAAAGAGAAGTGAGAATCAGGTTTTGGCTGGAAACTGTAGCAATCTGTATGCAAGATGAAAGCAATTAGGAAATTTTCGGGAAACTAACGCCTGAAGCTTTAGTTCTGAGTATTGAGCTGAAAAACAAGCTAAGCGGCTGAACTCAGGAGGAGGAACTCCATGGCCTCTTACCTCCATGGCTGTCTCCATGGGGCGGGAGGGACGAGTTACGGCTAATTTTACTATTGGGGAGAGTCAACCGTGGAGTGGGTGTTTTTCGATCAAGCTTAACTCCTGGGGATCTGTCCCCTCTTGGAGCTTAAGGCTATTTGGTTAATAAAAGACAGCTGAAAATTGCGGTCAATACTGATGATGCTTCACGTACAGACAGAAATAGCATTTCTTAACTTAGTATTTGTTTGTTTTTCAGCTATCATGCAGTTTAAAAAGAGAACCCAGAAAAGTTTAGTTTAGAGTTTACCAAACATGTTTAGATCGCCTTCCTTCATTTGTTTTTGATAAAGCCCTTTGCCTCTTTTGCATATATGTATTCATACATACAGATTTATTTAATTAATATATAATTTCATCATGAATGAATTATATTAAAATATAGATTTAATTGACATTTTTTTTTCTTTTTTCTTTCTTTTTTTGGCCAAACTTCAGCATTACGAATAATTAATAATACAACATTTTAATCTTTTTCCAATAAAATTACATATCCATGTAGTTCGATTAAGGAGGCGAGGTGAAACTTCCCGATTATACGTATGATAAAAACATAAATTCAAACTTTGTCGCTGAGAATGGAAAATATTTAGAATCTGAGGAACAAGATTTTCCAAAATTAAATATATTTTTTTTTAATTATATAAATTTTAAGCAGTGTGTTTTCAGAACTGTGTGCAATTATTTCATTTTAAATTTCTTTATTATTAAATACTTCTTCAGACCAATAAGAGAAATATACAGATTTTCCTGAAACATGTTTTAATCTGTCAAAATAACTTTAAAAATTTGGTTTCCGGTCTTTACACACAAACAATTATAAAATTTGCTTTCACACGATTTAATTTATTTAAGCTTCCGATTGCTCAACAAACGCCCACACGACTGTATTTCTTTGTGTTTCTCGTGTTCACAACGTCTGTTCCTGTACGATTAAATCTACATAATAACAGGACCAAGTAATTCTAAATTAAAATGTAATCTTAATTATCTAATTAATCTTAATTCTAAATTAAAATGTAATCTTTAAAAAAATTAATTTATACAAAATGAAATTTAGAATTGTACACAGTCCCTTAAAGAATAAATGATGATATATCTAACATCTACGGCCTTGAAA